GTCTACAGGTGAGTCTACAGGGGGGTCTACAGGGGGGTCTACAGGTGAGTCTACAGGCGAGTCTGCAGGCGGGTCTGCAGGTGAGTTTACAGGTGAGTGAGTGTGCAGCTGAGCTCAGGTGTGTTCAGGCTCCTCCCAGCTCTGCGGCCGGTCGGACCGGAGGATCAACTTCCTCAAACATCTTGTCAACACTTCAGCAGCAGATTAACGTGGGTCAGAACGAGGCTCGGTTCAACGGAAACACGCTGAGAGGCTGTGATCGGACAGATTTACAGTTCTGCCAGAACCACAGAACAGAACAGAACCACAGAACTACAGACAAACAGAACTACAGACAAACAGAACCACAGAACCACACTTCAGACTGCAGAAACCGTCCCAAAGCTGCTGACTGACAGAACCAGTCAGACTCCATTAAAACTAGCGTCTCACGGTGAGCTCTGTAGAACCATTCACTGTTTTTTTTGGGACAGAACCAGGTTTTTGGTCATTTTCACACTTCCTTGACATTTGAAGCGGTTCTGAACTGGTTTCATGGGGAAGTTCTGAGAGCAGAAGGCTGAGATCGTTCCCACCATCTCCACAGAACCTTCCCCTGATCTATCCTGGACTTGGGACACGTTTCTGTCTGCAAATGGACCGGGTCCTGAAACGCTGCCATCTGGACCTCGGTGCTGATTGGTTCAACAGCAGCAGCAACAACAACAAACGTCTCGGTTCCTAAAGTTAATCCACAAACTGTGAGTGAGGATCTGGTTCTGTTCTGGGTGACTGAAGTCTTCAGTGCTGGTCGACAGAACAGAACCGAGGTTCTCTGACTTTAAATATCAAATCGTTTGTTAACACAGAGATGAAGTAACTTCTGAACGTGTTGGTTCTGATTTAAATCAGATCCTGTTTGAGCTGCAGACCGACACCGAGGAGTTCTCTAACCGTTCTGTGGACCCGTCCACCAGTCCCACCTCCTCCCTGCTCCACTCTGAGGCTCCTGGTCACAGCAACAGGTTCAGTTTCTGTGCAGCTTTAAACTCCCGACGGACCCTGAACGCACCACGTTAATGGCTCATCTCCAGTTTCTGCTCTGAACGTTCACAAGTTAATGTTTAACGTCAGTTCACCTCAAACACACAAAACAGATTCAACAGTTCGACTTAGTCAATGTCTCTGGACGGTTCTGGACGGTTCTGGAAGGTTCTGGACGGTCGGAGCTGAATCGAAGCGTCTCTTTTCTACCAAACTAAATGTTTCAGACAGATTCAGCTGAACTCAAAGAGGATCCAGAAAGTCTTTAATTAATCACATCAGTGTCACAAGATTAAAGCAGGAAGTTCAGAAAATGAATTAAAACCCAAACGGACCTCTGGATACTGGATCTGAGCCGGTTCTGGTTCTGGTTCAGTACAAACAGAGCTGCTGCTTTCTTACCTGTTCAGGTGAGTCGACCGTGTGGCGCTTGTCTGGGTGGAGGCTCGCTACCTGCCGCTGGTGTCACCTGACGCCCCGCCCACCTGCAGCAGCTTCCTGTCTGACGCAGCGTGGCCACGCCCACCAGACGCTGCGTTCAGGGTCGGTTGGAGACATGAGCTCACCTCTTTGGTCTCAGATTCAGTGTTTCATATTTCAGCCTGATGGGTTCTAATGTGGACCACCGTACCGTCCCAACGCTTTAATAAACGCAAAATAAACATTAAGTCACTGATTTAAATAAACTGTTTACATAATAACAATAAACTTTGATAGTTGGCCTGATATTGTTCCATCAACTTAAGAGTTTGTTTTCTGGGTCGGTTCATTCACAGCTAAACAGGAGCTGGTGTCATTCATGTAAACTGGCTTAAAAACTTTTTCTTCAGATGTTATTTTATTAACGTGGAAACATCAAATGGAACAACTGAGTTTTTTGAGTTAATGCCTTAAAGTCTGACGTTTCTGCTGCCATCATTAAATCAAGGATTCAAGGCTTTTATTGGTCACAGACACAGTTACAGCAACAGGCAGTGAAATGTGTTGTGTACCTGCTCCACACCGAAACTATAAAAATAACATAAATAAGAATGAAGAACAAAACACACAAGAAGAAGCTCCTCCTCATCCTCTCTGTTTGCCTTCAGGCAGCGGTAGCGCCGCCCTGGTGGCAGCAGAGAGAACAGCCTGTGGCTGGGGTGGGTGGCTCACTGAGATCTTCCTGCCTTTAACCTGCATCGTTTGGTGTTGTTGTCCTGCAGGTTGGGGAGGGTGGTTCTGATGGAGCGGACCACCCTCCTCAGGGCCCAGAAGTCCTGCTGGGTGCTGCTGCCCGTCCAGGTGCTGATGCTCCCAGCCACAACACTCTCATGGTGCAGGTGTAGAAGCTCCTGGGCACCTTGAGAGGGAGCTTAAAGTCTCTCAGGCATCGGAGGAGGTCGAGACGCTGTGGAGCTTCTTATATGTTCAAGTCAAAGCACTGTCGGCTCATCTGACACGTACTCGCTGCTACTTTCAGGCTTCCCGGTGAACCAGGAACGACTCTGCAGCTACCACGTGTCCTTCATGTTTTACATCCTGAAAAGGCCGTTTTGATCCAAAGTTGTTTTTGTGCTTTAATCAAAACTTATTTTCTACATTTCTTGGTTGTTTTATTTATAAGGTTTGATTATTAACAACAAATTCAAAACTGATGGAGGGCAAACATTTTGCAGGAAAGGGAAGAGAAGACCTGCAGCAAAGGGTGGTGAGTCCAACCCACGACTGCTGCACTGGGGAACAATAGCTAACTACAGCTAACCACGGCTAACTACGGCTAACCACGGCTAACCACGGCTAACTATGGCTAACCACGGCTAACCACGGCTAACCACGGCTAACCACGGCTAACCACAACCCTGTTCATGGGTCGCTGCTCAGCCAGGTGAGCTCCAGGGGCGCCCACTCACACCTAGAACTTTAATAGAACTTTCATCAGTGCTATTTAAGCTCAAGCCGGCAGCATTTAAACACGTGATGATTGTTGTTCCTGTTCAATAACAGAACCGTCATGCGTCACTTTAACTCACAGAAAAAGGTTCTGTGATGTGTGGTTCCAACCAACAGAGAACCTTCAGGAAAACAAACCTCAGAGACTCCACCGGTTCTGTCAGAACGTTCCATCGACACACCACAGAACCTTCGTGATCGTGCTCTATGTCGGTAGAAGGTTCTGCAGTCAGAACCAGCCTCCCACCAGGGCGGTTCTGATCCGGAGCGGCTGCAGCAGGAACCAGACTCAGACAGCTGTAATAAATAAAGAGCTTTAATACTGATGTGGTGTAAATATGTCAGTAAACACAGTAAACAGAGCAAACACAGATTCTCTCGTCTCTCGTCTCAGACTGGAAGATCAACGAGGAGCATAGAAGTTATCTGGAAGATTCCCATCATGCAGTGCAGTTTATTGCAGATAACTTTGGTACAACAGAGACGTGGGTTCTTACAGAAGCAGAGAAAACAGACTGATCCTGACCATCTGATCACATCTCAATCACTCCTGATCAATTATTATATCACCAACAATGAAATCTATAAAATCAGACGCAGCAGCAGCGAGAATCAGCTCAGATCTGATTCTGACATGTGAACCTGATCGATCAGGAACATCGATCTGATTGATCTGAGTCAGACGTCTGTTTTCTGTGCAGCTGAACAGCAGCGAGTCGATCATGTGATAATCAATAACACGTAGTGGCTGTAAACTGCAGGTACATTCATTTACACTCAGCGTCAACGTGGCTGAAGGACCTTTGACTCCGCCCCCTTCGCATGACATCATTCATAAACAGATTCACAGAAACGTGAGTAACGAACACCAACAGCCTCCAAGTTTCACTGCTCACATACATCTCTGTCTGAAGTTCTGAGGCTCAGACATGATGGAAACAGTCCATTAAGGTGATCAATCTGGACCCTCCTCTGTGGACTTCAAGGACCTGGACCTCTGGAACATTCACAGTCTGAAGGTAGAACTCTGGTCAGCAGATAAAGGTGCTGCAGAAACAGAACCAGATGTTCTGAGGAGGTTCTGGAGGGACTCTGGTCAGGTTTGGTTGGTTCTATGTGGAACCATCTTTTCCATAATGAGATAAATGATCTCTCATAGTTCCATTCTTTCTTTGTTGTCCTCTGATTGGCTGGTCCTCATACTCACCTGATGTAGGAGGAGCCCTGTGATTGGCTGAAACCTGAAATGTCAGGATGTTTCTGGAGCCAGCAGTTCTACGTTCCACGTGTTCTCAGACATGAGGCTCAGAAAAGCAGCAGGACGTGGAGGCTGTTGGTGGACGTTGCTCTCACACACAAACATGTTTACAGCAGATCAAACAATCTGATCAGTTATTATTATTGTCTCCTTATCAATAATTCTCTATTGCTAATATTTCTTCACAGCTAAAAAATAAAGATTCACATCAGCAACGACAGCAAACCGCTTCAAATATCAACACTAACACCGGCTGGAGAGAAGTCGGAGGACTACCTGAAACATGAGGCTCCGCCCACTGACACCTGGGCTTCAGGACGACCTGAAACACGAGGCTCCGCCCACTGACACCTGGGCTTCAGGACGACCTGAAACACGAGGCTCCGCCCACTGACACCTGGGCTTCAGGACGACCTGAAACACGAGGCTCCGCCCACTGACACCTGGGCTTCAGCTCTAATTAGTTTGTTTCCACGCAGACTTAAAAGAACAATAAACATCTAATGTTTGTCAGAAAACATCTGTAATGAACCAGTGAGCAGAGAGAACAGGATGGACGTGTGGACCAACCTCTGACCTTCAGACATGATGAATGAAGACCAGACCTGTGGATGCTGGTTCCTACTGATCACATCTCTGTGCTCCTGAACCGTAACCCTCCTCAGCGGGCTGCACGGCGCCCGTAAACGCTCTGAGCTGTGAATTCTGGGTAATGTCACGCTGCTCGGTGAGTCTGTGCAGAAACAAACAGAGTCAACCAATAGAAGCCCAGAGGTCCTCTGACACGTCACCGAGGTCTGTGACATCACCAATCAGGACAAACCCCGCTTATCGATCTCCAACAAACCTACAACCAATAAATTAATCAATAGCTGCTGGCAAAATAAAGTCTCCGATGAGATAAATACTGCAGCTTGATAGTAGTACTGTATATACACACAGCAGTACTGCGTCTTCGCCAGTATTAGTATATATATATATGTATATATATATATATTTATATATAAAGTATTGAGTATAAAGTCTGTGTACGACACACACATGCAGAATAAAGCAGGTCGACACGTTCACAAACAGACTGCAGCTGATTTTACAGAAACACTGAAAGTTCTTGACTTGACACTGAGCAGCTCGTCCGGCCGCCACATGTCCGGCGCACAGGTAACGTCTCACCTGCAGCCCTAACACGTCTGTGATGTCATCGCTGATGTCACTGACAGAGCTGCGTTTACAGCCGTGTCCAGGATCCTGTGAGCCTTTAAACTGAAATGGAAGACAGAGCAGTGTTCCCTCCTCACCTGTTCATCCGTTCACCTGAAACCAGCCGCTCTCTGACTGGTCAGGCAGCTGCTGTCAGTCATTATTGCATCTGTGTGTGTAAACTGCAGAATTCGTCTTCTTCTCCTGATAAACAAGTTCACAGTTCACCGTTTTCTTCTTCATTTGCTTTAATTTAGTTTCCCTTTGCAGACTCCGCCTCCCTGATGATGTCAGAAGAGCAGGCTCCGCCTCCTGGTTGGACTGTTTGCTGACAGAAAAAGAAAATGTTCAAATTCACTCACACTGTTCAGGACCAGGCT